GAGGTAGACAGGAGGGCACGTAGCTTTGCGGTTGGAAAATGTGACGTGATAGGATTTAGTTTCATTTGCTTTTAGTCGCCAAAGTGAGAGCCAGCTTTCTATGGAATTGAGATTGTTTTGAAGTTTGAGGGATGCAGTGACTGGATTAGGGTCGGAGGCTAATATAGCTGTGTCATCAGCAAAGGTGGCAGTAGTTGTGTAGGGAAAAGTTGGGAGGTCATTGGTGTAGAGGAGATAAAGGAGGGGGCCTAGCACACTACCTTGGGGAACTCCTGCATGGATAGGAGACTGAATTTGTACTGTTGAGGATTCAATCGGCTTTTGGTTTCGGCGTCACCTCCCAGTACGCTATCTGACTCCAACACAGCAGACACCTACTTAGAAACCTAAAAGTAGGTCAAGTAGGCGGAGAATTCACAGCTTTATATGGAAACCGAATTTCATTGCCGTGTTGCGAAGAGCCCGGCTACTGGCCCTTCCCATGAGCGAAATAAATACACAGCCTTGCCGTATTTCTTAAGATCCTTCTTTCATTATTGCATCCTCACATCCGCCACAACAACACGGAATTAGTTCAAGCACGTAGTTTCATTTTCTTGGTATAAGGCCGAGAATGTAGATTGGTATTATGTGCATTGTCTCCTAACAACTATGTAGTAGTAATGACCAATTGATATTTGTTGATGTTGTATTTTAGCGTCCTGTTGCACTGATTTTCATCCATGATATGTATGTAATGGCCCTCTTGTAGTGCACTCAATTTCATATGTCGCTTCTTACTACATGTTTCAGCAACATAGTGCCATCTTCAGGTTCGTTATTTATGCTAAGCTATTATATTGTCGTTTCTGTGTGTACTCGTACTGTGTCTGTGATGTGTCCTTCCTTTTTGGCTCGCAGCCAAAAAGGAAGGACACATCACAGACACAGTACACACAGAAACGACTTCCATAAAGGACGAACCATAATACGCTAGTTTGAATTTAGACGTACAGAAGAATAATCTTAACAAGTTTTAGTACATACAAATTTTATTATAGTTGACGAATAATGTATTTTCTAAATAATTTTATGAAAGACACAAGATGGTAAACAATGTAATAGCTTAGCGTAAATAACGAACCTGAAGATGGCACTATGTTGCCGAAACATGTAGTAAGAAGCGACATATGAAATTGAGTGCACTGCAAGACGGCCATTACATACGTATCATGGATATTTGTTGACTTTTAAACTATTCGATGTAGTTACATATTATTTTCATTTTCGCTGTGTCGAAACAATTCAGATGCGTACATAAAATTCGTGTTTCTTTTTCCATTCGAATGGATGAGTCCAACTTTGTAAATTGATCACAATTCTATATGATTTCGTCTCCTTGACTCAGTTAGGGAGTGAAATGGTTACAGTCTGATAAAGAAATGTAGGGCGGTTATGTAAACTCGAATCTAGTACACCTTCGACTACAAGTAGGTCTAAAAAAAGTAAACTTCAATTACGTAAATTGTTTAGCTAAACTATTATGGATTAAGGTTCTCACAGAATTGATTATGAAGAGCTCTATCTTTTGAGATGTGTTGCCTTGTAGTTCCCATAGAAGTTCAGTCTCAGCCGGGTTACCACTTCACCAGAAAGAATTTTTGATGGTTTTGTCAGCGTTCTATACAAATTTTAGGGAAAATCTTTCAGTTAGACCAAAAATGCCTTCTACTGAATGCTTCACTATTCAGCATTCATGATCGCCTTCCCATTTCCTTCATCGCAATAACAATTATTAAAACAGCATCGTTGAATGATGTAAGAGTTAAAAAAAAACCAGTAGATGGAAGGATAATATTAAAATGGATCTTAGATAAATCAGATGTTATGTGGTCTGGATTGATCTGGCTCAAGTGATGGACCACTAACGGGCTCTTGTAAACGCGGTAATGAACCTTGTGGTTCCGTAAAACGTTGGAAAGACCTTGAGTAGATGAACGACTGCCGGCTTCTCAAGAAGGCCTCAGCTCCATAGACTTAGTTAATTAGTAAGTTAGTTCTTTTTTCTTTCTTTCCCCCCCCCCCGGCACTACAACCCCAGTGGGCCTAGGCCTACCTCCGAGAACTTCTCCGTTCACTTGGGTTTTACTAGATCTTAGACATTCGGAAGGACTCCTTGGGCGGGTGATCAGCTCGTCGCAAGGCCTCTCCCTGTACACAAACACAGAAAAACTCACACATACAAACTAAACATCCATGCCCTGAGTGGGATTCGAACCCACGATCCCGGTTTCCGAGCGAGCGAAGACAGTACATGCCTTAGACCGCTGGGCTACCGTGACCGGCAAGTTAGTTCTTTAGTAACAAATATACGAGGGGTTAGGGTTGCGGCAACGCCCTAGACTTACATTATGTACAAGTGCTCCTTTCGAATTACGGCCAATTCAACAGCTATCCGAACTTAGGTTTTCGTGTCCTTCCTCAGTCCCTCTGGGATAAATCTGCCTTATTACTTTGCTTATGGCACATTACTTCCTACCAAATGCTTTCCAATTCACTATTCATGAATCATTGTATAGCATGTACACGCAACCTACTTGTATATTTAAGAGTAAATTCTTGATTCATGTCACATGAACGTTTTCATTTTGTGATGTTTCGTAACATACTGTTTGTTTACAGTGAGGGTTAGCTCCTGGAAATCCCCATACCGCCAAACCGTCCTTTCTTGCCTGTCGATGTCGGTTTACTGAACATATTCACACGTAAACTCCGTATCTGGAGTTAGTCGAAACATCATCAAGGAAAATACAATTTGGGATGACTGGCGTAGAAGACAGGATGGTGCAGTAATGGATCTTACGGAATAGGCCTTGACGGTGTGGACTGGATTCAACTGGCTTAGATAGGTTCCAGTGGCTAGTTATTTGAATACGGCAATGAATCTCCAGATTCCCTAAAATGTAGGGGATTTTTTGACGAGATGAGCAGCTATCAACTTATAAAGCGGGACGCGTATTCATAGACCATTAAAATAAACAATGAAAATATTAAGACTGGCCCCTGCTCCGAAGAGACTGTGCATTTTCGTTTTGAGTTTCTTTCGATCTAATATTGAAGTTTTATCATTAATTCTCTCTCTCTCTCTCTCTCTGGCTCCACAGACAGTTGACTGATAACGATTGCCATATAAGCTTACGTATCGAGTCGGTCAGAGGCCTTATGAACTCTCTGTGTGGACGATTCCTTCCATGACATGTAATGGTAGTAGGGTTGCCTTTGTAGTAGTAACCCACAGTGATGGCTCTGGGGTCAAAGCTGACGTGTATTACAAGTGTGTGAGATAGATTGATTTATAGGTTATGTAACGGTTCTGTTTGAACAGTCGATGTCATATACTGTCGAATGAAATAAGAAGATACCGAACGGTCTAACACAGCGGTAAAACTCTTGACCCGCGTTCGTGAGAAGCTGCATACGCACCTCGGCTAGGACATCGGCAAATCTAGCTGAGGCTTCTCGCGGATTTTCTCAGTCCCCCCAGATTAATTCTAGGATAGTACCTCGGTTAGGACACGACGGCTTCCTTCCAAATAATTCCTCTGTAATCCATCTACGCAGTGTAGCTGCTGGAAGCGTCGTTTAATAGCCCACATATAAGTAAGTAAATAAGATGAGAATATGATAATGAAGGATGATTAGATGTAAAATGCAAAGGCAGAAAGAGAGAAGAAACGGTAGTAAGGAAAAAAAGAAGTGAAGAAAGAATGCAAACAAAATTCCACCGTCAATAGATCTTAGTTCAAGCTGAGGTTCGTAGGTTCAGTGTCTGGGCCATGTCCTCTGGCTGCTGTTTTGAGCCGTTTGGACGACAAGCAATTCGTGTAGAGCATTTCTTTGGTAGGACTCCTCAAACGGACACTCAAGGGAAGTCATGACTCTTGCGGCTATCAAGAATTTTTTCGAATCTCAGTGCAATATAAACAGACCCAACAAAATACAAAATTGTAAAATATTTTTATAATAAGAACAACCTACAAGCATATAGAAAATAAGTTAATTTATTTTCCTCTCTACTTACTTCCATATATCAAGATGCCATACGTTTCTGCCATGTAATAGGAACGAAAGAATAAACTGATTTCTTTTGAGTGTGCTGCTTCACATAATTTAACCGGCTAAGATTTGGAAGATAGGGGTTCGAGTTCCAAGCAGAAGCAGGTACATTTCTCTTGCCCTCCACATCCGTGCCAAGTCTGGGACCGGCCTCCTCTTTTCTGAATATAGAGGCTTTTCTCGAGCTTGAAGCTGCCGGAACATAGTGTTAATTTCTCGCTCCCAGGTAAAAAAAAAAAAAAAACATGAAGATTTTCTGCACTCACCCTGTATGCATCTTGACGTGAGTCTCATTTGAATCTCTCTGAAGGCGCTTAAAATGAACTGAACAGCTCAAATATGCTACATAGAACTTCTCATTGCTTGTGGTGAATATGAGGTTCTCACGGCCACGAATTTTGTGCTCTGGTTGTGGTAGGCGTTTGTCTGACCAAAATATACATTCGAAACTAGCTACTTTCTTGCACAGCAATGTATGCACATTACACACACATATCACAACTATAGCCAAGAATGGAGAGAGAACCGTGGACGAGGAATCATGATTACATTCTGCTACCAGATGCTGACCCATCAAGCTGCGCGTCTCTCTTTCGAATTGTCTTATTTCCTGTCAGTTCTCCCACGTCAAAATACGTTTCAAATTCCTCGTCCAAATCTATCCTGTTCTGCGTAGTGTTTCCAAATATTGTTTACCTCTAACAGATGGCCGTGGCATAGCTCAGGTGGTTAGATGCTGAGTTGTTTCCGCCGAGGTTTGGCTTCAGGCTTAGAGCAATCCATCTAGATTTGGACGAAATGGTATGAAACAGACATTTCTAAGTGTACGCCTGTTTTTTTCCTGTACTCATCATTTCAGTAATGCTCCATACTCACGTGTGGTCAGCTTCATCGGCAGGGGCTGGTACAGTAGTCCCAGTTGAGACCGCAGTGTTAAATTACTCAGCCTCGCCACACCATTGTTATTATGGGGCTCATAGAAACCTCCTCACCTTTGTGTGGCATTGAATATGTTGGTTTCTCTTTGGGAGCACATAAAATTGATAAGACAGACCAGTTAACTAAAATGTAGTGAAAGTAAAAGACTGGATGGGCCCCGGTCTGAAACTCGACAGAGACATTCTTCTCAACAGAAGGCATCCAGGTCGATTCTGAGCACTCCCAGACCCCTGTCTCCGGGTACTGTGTATTCTCTCGCCTCAGATTTGAAGCTAACCACCAATCTGCATCTTGGGCCTAGAATGCATTTCTTTTGCCATAAGAGCTCAACAAACCTGGCCTGGTATCTGGGTGAATGGATCGCCTCACTTTTACTTCATGTTTACTGAAGAGTTGGTGCGATAGTAGCGCTGTAAACTAGTGCTTTGGCAGTACCCATTGTTCTGTGACGAGTTTGTTTGCATCACACTTTCCAGTTGAATGCTATTATGGTACCTATAAACAAGCCACGAATACGCCATTGCAATTTCTTATCTATTCACCAACCGTGCTAATTTACCACTTCATGAAATGCTGTAGAACATATGCAATTAAACTACCATCATAAAGTAACATAATAACAACAGTATACTTTGGCATGCAGAATGTGGTCTCTAGTCTTGTCACATGGCACATACAAATTGGAACTTGTTTTCACGATACCGTTAATGAATGCAAATGCACTGAAGCAACAGTACTGTTGTTACTAGTTAGTTATTTCCAGAATGAATTAATGTTATCCTTTGTTACAATGTGGAGGCAGACAATTAGTGTTTGAGGGCATATTTTGGCCGTTGTTGTAGCACATCTGGTGTGTCGCCCCGTGTCTGCGGGTATGCAAGATCTCCTGTGCAGCAACTAGAAACTTCCTTCAGGCATGCACCCATGCCACCGTCATCCCATTCACAGAAGCTCTCAGCTACTTCTGGTCAAGGATCAGTGTTAAAATGCAGAAGTTACCAGAGGCAACCACAGAACGCAAGGAAGACATTCTACTTATCTGAGTTAAGTCGGAACTTGTCTGTAAATGGTCATCAAGAACAGTATATTTCTTCTTTATGCTATATCTACTCGTGTACTCGGCTAGAGCCTAATAGTTCTTCAGATTCGTGTGAAATTTCGAAAGACGATGGCATGTGTTATACAGTCATGCTTAGAGGCCTTTATCTGTGTCAAGAATCATATGTGTGAATATTTCAGGTTCATGTGCTTATACTTTAACGCATTAGTCAGCGTCTGACTGAAGTGTTAAATAAGCATGGATGAAGTTGCCTCTCTCACAATTAAATAAAATCTATGAGAAATCCCACGCTAGTTAAATTATAAAATGATTTGTAATTTATCACTTAGAGTCCCTGTAAGTTATCCATTAAGAGGAACTGATGATGATGATGACGGTGACTACGATGATAGGAGAGGGATTACACCGAATCCCTGAGTAGTTTTGTACTGCTGTCTAGATTAGGTCTATTGCGCAAGTCCCCCATCATGTAGATCATGAGGATGATAACAGATGCACTGACTAGATCGAAGTAATTTAAGTCATGATCGAATCATGACTAGAAGTATTCTTGGAGGGAAACTTTAACCAGTGTTACATTGTACACCACAAATCCCATATTCCTTTCGAATTAAATCCAGGCCCAGTACTTAGAATATCACAATTTATTGAAGCTAAAATAATTCGTTTTCTTTGGTATTATGTCCTCATAAATAAGTGCATGTGTGTGAAAGAGTTCGGTGAAATTTGCAACAAAATATGGTAGTATGAAACCATTTCTAAACATTCTTGCAAGCGCCTTTTCTTATTAAGTTCAAAATTTATCTCCCCTGGTCTCTTTATGAGTTACTTCACACCGTTCTTATGATTCTTCTAAGTTTCTAAAATGCTGCTATTTAAATTGTAATGTTGTACATTTCTTAACGCTAGTGACATCTGTTGTAATTTTATCCACTTGTAAGGACAATAAACCTCCTCTAATCTGCATTTATTTCACAATTATATAAATAATAAGAGTGTAAATAAGCTGGTCACAGTAGCCGAGCGGTCTACGGCATGCATTGTCTTCGCTCGCTCGGAAGCCGGGATCGTGGGTTCGAATCCCACTCAGGGCATGGATGTTTGTGTGCGTTTTTCTGTGTTTGTGTACAGGTAGAGACCTTGCGACGAGCTGATCACCCGCCCAAGGAGTCCTCCCTAATGTGTAAGATCTAGAAAAACCGAAGTGAACGGAGAATTTCATGGAGGTAGGCCTAGGCCCACTGGGGCTGTAGTGCCAAGGAAAATAAAAGAGTGTAAATAACTATTTTGAAATGCGGACTATTCGCGGAACCGCAGATCAACTGAGTCAGAAACCACGAGTCTTGTCTTACTAAATGCTGTATCATTAAATATCAAATGTTCGCTGTTAAAGAGTTTTATCTTCCTGACTATAAAGCCTTTTAGCCCCTTGAAATTACACCGATGTTTCGGAAGAACATGTATCTTCCATCTTCAGAATCGAATAATAAAGCAAGCAAGAAACCAGCGTGAAGTAGGTGGCAAGCAGAGATTCGCGTTGGTTTCTTGCCTGGCTTATTCTTCAACCCTGGAGATGGATGCTATATATTTCTCCTGAACGGCGGTTGGCTTTCAACAGACTACACAACGTTATATCCCAGAAGACAGAACTCTTCATAATCGTAGCTCTGAGCCTCACATCCTGCATTGTTCACGGTGAAAGATGGTGAAAAATGTGAAATTTAAAACAATTTATATCACAGAATAATAGGAGGCTGAATACAGATATCCTGTACATCTTGCTCCACGCATAGGTGAGACAACTCACCAAGTGCCAGATTCGTACACGTCTGAGAATGTCTAAGAATGTTTTCCGATTGTCCCGAGGACGGACCAAATGAACATTTATAATTCCGTACAGTAAGTCATGATGTTAGCAGTGGTAATCGTTAAATTTAATTCCTATGACTTCATTGGTAGCCAGTATCATCATGATTGACCGAATTTTTTAGCAAGGCAAAAGATTTGCGAATGATTAGCAAAGACGAAGACGTGTAAATGAATTTTCTCATTATTGGCTTTAATCAACATCGATAAAAATACGGCAAAAATGTAAGGAAATACTGCTGTCATCCTTTTACTGTGTGTTATCAGTTCTCCCCCCCCCCGCTCATCACATCTTGGTCGCCCAAATGTTTGATATTCTTAACCATATTCGATCCTCTATCTTTCGTGCTAAATTACGTAATTCGTAATTTGTTTTCTCCTTTGCTAACAACACCAGTCGTAATTCTTTTTCACTAGAGAAACCGTCGTCCTCTCAAGATCAGGTAACTTTCCCTAGCGGCATTTTTACCCCCTCAAACAGCCGCAAGTCCCCACTGAATCGGCTTTCATGGATTTCGGATTTATGGTCACGGTATCATAAAATTCTCTGTGATCGCCAGGGCAAACATATTCACCGACACGAACATGACTATGGGACCTAGCTTACCAAATTTCCCAAATTTCTAAACTCATCGGCAATATGAATCAAAGTTACTTTAATCCCATCAAAGAGATACAACAAACAATAAGAATTTATTAGAGGGTCGTACACTAATGGAAATTGGCAGTAGCTGTATTTCCAAGTTCGCTTTCTTCAGCCAAACATTCAGTATCACTTGCGAGTTTGTGACGACCATAGTTCAGTTATTGTTTGTCTTGTGTTGTGACAAGTAGTACATTCAACAAATTACACAGTTATCGGTGTATTTTAGTTATTGTACTTCAAATTACTGAGTAAATAAGCTGTACTAGTTTATATAGCTATTCTTGATATGGTTGAAAGACAAAGAAGTTATAGTTTTAACAGTGAATGGGAGGAGCAGTATTGTTTTCTTGAATACAGAGGAAAACCTGTGTGTTTATTGTGTAATAGTAGCGTGTCTGTTCCTAAAAATGGCAATGTAGAGCGACATTTTTGACTAACCACAAAAACTTCAATTTCCTGTGAAATCTGAACTAAGAAAACAAAAGGTGAAAGACCTAAAATCTGAATTAACCTTGCAACAATGTGTACTCGTATTTACAAAGCCTATCCAGCAAAGTAGTAACGTAACAATAGCTTCTTATAAAATCTGTCATGTGTTAGCTAAAAGGAAAAAACCTTCCAGTGATGGGGAAATAGTTAAAGAAGCTATGATCAGTGCCGGCGAGTCTCTGTTCGATGATCACAAAGATAAATCTGCACTTATGTCTTCCATCACAGAACTTGCAGTTGTCTCACCAAACTGTTGCTAGACGAATTGAATAGATTTATGATAATCTGGAATCCCAAATACATCAGGATCTGCAATCGTGTGAATATTTTTCACTCCAGCTTGATGAAAGCACTGATATATCGGATGCTGCACAATTATGTGTATTTGTTAAATGGTTTTTTTGGCAATTTTACGGTAAAGGAAGAGTTCGTTAAACTGCTGCCAATTCAGGAACATACTAGGGGAGAAGACCTAATATGGCTCTGAATACGATCTTCCATCTTTTTCCCAGCATCTTGAAGCCCTTGTGACCGAATTTGGTAACAGATTTAGCCAGTTTTCAACACTTGAACCAGTGACAATGTTTATCAGTAATCCATTCGCTACTGTTAATGTTAGTGAACTTGGAGGGGAGGTGTGTGAAATCTTCGGAAAGTATAATCTTGAAGAATTAGAAATGGAAATTTTAAATTTCCAAGAAGACATATCTTTGAAATCCTCATTTGCAACTTGTAGCAATTTCTGGACTCTGGTGGACAGGAATAAATATCCCATGATTCATAGCATTGCTCTGAAAATGTATTCTTGTTTTGGTTCGACGTATCTGTGCGAAGTCGCATTTGCATCTATGAGCATCATCAAAAATAAGTACCGATCCTGCCTAACAGACTCACACTTAGATGATGCACTAAGGGCAGCCTGTTCCAGCTACACACCTGCTAACATGCAGTGTCAAATTTCACACTAATTACATAAGATTGTAAGTAAATATAATTATATTAACAAAAGATTTAGTCGGTATTAAATTTCTAATTATTTTATTATTATTATTGTTTTATTATTATTATTATTAGTATAAGTAGTAGTATTAAGAAGTAGTAGAAATAGTAGTATTAACTACTACTACTAGTAGTAGTAGTGTGGTGGCGCCCGCACCTCCATAGGCATCAGTGAATTGTGCCCGAGTATATAAGAACGTTGGACAGCACTGCCTTAGTATGTGCGTATGCTATGAATACGCACTAATAATTTAGGCAGCTGAATGTTACTTGTACTAGAAAATATTTGGGGGACGCGGTAGCGTAGTTGGTAGAGGCACTATGCTACAAGCCGGAAGGTTGCGGGATTGAATCCCGACGAGATCATTGAATTTTTTCAATTTACCTAATCCTTCCAGCCGCACTATTGCCCTGGGGTCGACTCAGCCTCTAACAGAAATGCGTACCAGGAATATTCTTGGAATGTTCATGGGAGTAAAGGGCGGCCGGCGCGTAAGGCTGACAACCTTACCGCCATCTATGAGTCGATTGTCTAGAAAATGTGGGAACATCAACATCTCACAATCCTACGGGCCTCCAAGGCCTATTACAGGGATACCTTTACGTTTAATTTTTACTTTTACTAGAAAATATTTAATGCAGACATGTTAATGCAAAATGGTATCTAAGTGCTGATCTGTGCCTTATAATAATCCTAACGTTTGGAAGATATATGAATTATTAACACAAGAATAAGTTAAACTTTTAAGCAGATAGATTTGGGTAATATGAACTATTACTCCTGTATAACTGAAAAGTAAGTGAAATGCAAAACGAGTAACTTAGCCTTACACTTATATTTCCCACAATACACTCGAGCCAACGGTGAAACTCGGCAACATCAACTTCTAGCTTATACGAGTAGATGGCGCAGTGGGTGCAACGTTAGTTCAAAGGCGATGTGTATATTTACTCCAGCAATGACCTTCGGTTGGACGTAATCAGAGATGTGAGAGATAAGTTGCAGTAAACATGTTAGGCTGCGAAAGTGTGAGTACATTTGATTTTGACATTGTCGACGGTGCCGACTGTGTCGACTGTGTGCTGTTAAAATTGAATTCCTAGTTTAGAAGGTTTTAGTGTCAGGAAGTAGTTGTACAAAAATGTATGGTGTACGTATGTTTAAAGAGTGCGTAAAATGTCAGCAATTTAGACAAAGTGCAGTTACGAGTTTTCGAAGTATCCTTTTGAATCGATAAGGAAAGTGTTACTCTTTTATATATACCATAATTTTTACATGTATGAATTGCTTGTAGATCGAAATGGAGCGTAATAATATAGCTTATGAATTTTACTCAGGTGTACTGTGTATTTACAATATAGCTTATAGTCAAGTCTTCATAGGCACTTCTATGAGAACCTCAAATCTGACTTGATTGTGTATGATTTTTACATCTGAGAATGTCTTCATTTATTTTGGATAACACCATCTTCAGCAGCTAATTGTAATTTCATGTAAGTAAACTGGCTGTTCTGAAAACATTTATCTGCATAGACATGGTCACCTTTAGGTACAGTGGGTATGCTGTTGTCTCGTCAGAAAGAGGCCTCTCGCTCTTTAAACAGGCAGCAGTGAAAGAATGAATCTCAGTTGGGTATATATCTGTATTCATGAATGTGTGCTTGTGTGTGTCTGTCTGTGTGTCAGTATACAGTGCCCAATGAAAGCTAAGAAACTGGAGAAATAAGGTGACAAATGCCATTGATGGGTTTACTCTGTAATGCAGTTTGAAGTAAACTTCATATGAGGTAAGAGGATTCCATGCCCTTCAGTGAGAAATGAAATAACTTAGATGGTGATTCACAAATCCATGCACCATTTCATATTTTGAAATGTGTTGATGATGTTAAAAGGTAAAGGTGAAGTTGTCCAGTGCTTTATTTATTAAGCACTATGCCATGAAGACATATGGAGGAGTGGAAGTATAGCTCTATCATTCTTCACCTCAGCACTAGATGGAGGTGAGTGGTCAGCTTCATGCCTTGGCCACTTTACCCCTGAAGAAAGAGCTCCCAGTACACATTAGATAGGGGGCTTGATGGGCCCCAGAGTCAGTCGCAGAACTGTTGAGAAGAGAAAAAACTCTTGCCCCTTCTGGGAATCAAACTCAAGCTCCTATGTGTTATGTAGGTTATTCAAATTACCATAAATTTAGTTATAGTTTGTGTGCTACTAGCTTGCCATAATGTGAGTCAAGGCTGCTATTTATGCCCAAGTTTTAATTGAACATTTATGGCCCGTACCTGAATGTGGAAATGTTTAGTAATTCAAATGTTGATGCTACATAACCTGAATGGTTGAGGAAGTGTTGTACAAACATTAATGATCTAAACATTTTGAATCTCAGCAATCCTGATTGAGGTTTTCATGTTATTTCCCTCTGTCCAGGTGAATGATGGGATAGTGCCTTTTAAGTCACAGTCACCTTACTTACTTACTTACGTACTTACTTACTTATGGAACTGAGCCCTTCTTGAGGAGAAGCCAAATCTGCAGCTACTCAAGAATTCTTTATGGAACCTGAAGGTTCATTACCGTGTTCACAAGAGCCCTCCACTGGTCCCTATCCTGAGCCAGATCAATCCATTCCATACCATCCCATCCTATCTCTCTTAAGATCCATTTTAATATTGTCCACCCACCTACTTCTTGGTCTTCCTTCCTTCTGGCTTTCCCACCAATATCATATATGCATTCCTCATCTCCCCAATTCATGCTGCATGCCCTGCTCACCTCACCCTCCTTGACTTGATCATTCTAATTATATTTGGAAAAGAGTACAAGTTATGAAGCTTCTCATTATAGTCACAGTCACCTACTTCCAAATTACTACCTACTGTTCTCACCATTCTTGGGGAACACTAAGCAGCTTCTCCTGTTATAACAGCACCATAAAATAGCCCAGTTAGTCTGTCAGTATAACCTGAGTGGTATATAATCATATAATAATCTGTGGTAGACCTTAAAATATGAAAAGATGTTACTGCAGCTTCATCTTCAGTCGCACAGACCACAGGTTAGTATTCCATATTTCAATTATAATTTAGAAGATTATGTAAATTGCAAAACATAATGGAAATAATGTTGGTTTTCAACATAGCTACTTTTTCTGACATCGTCATCATGTTTTATTGACTTCGTATTTCGAAATAATTTTGCTCTTAATCTGGAACCACTTAAACGTTCCAGTGATTACATAGTCTATTAGTGAACACATAGCATTAACATTTAGTTTTTAAATGGTCTTGTGATTAGCTCATAGACTACCATTGCAAGTGAACACTTTCATATTTTGATCCATAATTAAAATATTCTGGTTAGTACTTTATTTAAATTATGTTATTCCCTCACTTTGGGCACAGAATATGGTCTGAGTTGGCCTGGGTTTGATGTTGAAAAGAGAGATGTTTAGTTATTTTGAAAATACATGTGCCAAGAAAGTTTATGTACCCACCGAACATGTATTACAGTATAGAAGATAAGAGAATGTAACTGATGTGCAAGGGATATTGTTCGAGTCATAAAATAACTTGAGCTGCAAATTGGAGGGATTTCTGTTACCATGTCATGTATTTTCTTATTGCTAGTGGTGTGGGACTAAGTCCCTTGTACTGCTGCCACTTCTGGCCTATTGTTACCAGCCACAGATCATAGGTGAGGGTGATTGTAAAGCAATTGGTGGAATGAAGATTGGCAGGGGAAACTGATGTACTCGGAGAAAACCTGCCCCAGTGCCACTTTATCCACCACAAATCCCACTTGACAAGACCCGGGTTCGAACCCGGGCCACCCCAGTGGGAAGCCAGCGACTAACCACTTGAGCTATGGTGTGGCCTACCATGTCATGTAAGTGGTTGTTAATTTTCACTAAATGGAATTGTCTCTTGGGCATCATACAGCATACAGATGTTGTAAATCCACCAAACATTGTGGTATAGTGGCTATTACTCCTCTTCTTATTCAGGAGAAAACAAATTCTGGTCTCTGCCTCAAAATGGTTGTCCTTTATTTCCTTTCCCCTCCCCCAGCTTTCAGCTATTTTGGCTCGTCATACCAAAGTTATTAGTTAACTAACTCCTTTTACCAGAAGTAGTTGCTATACTTACTATCAAATGGTTTAAGAACCTGATACTTGCTTTCAGTTATCTGGTGATTCTCTAAGGTTTGAAATTCAATTAATAAATGCATCATGAAGAAAGCAGTCTTCTGGGATGTGGCGCTGTGTAGATATTGTGTTAACTGACATTTCGAAGGAACGTATCCCCTCCATCTTCAGGGTAGGGCTGGTTCGCTCGCGGATTTCTCCTTTTTCTTCTACCCTGAAGATGGAGGTGATACGTTACTCTGAAACATCGGTTAACACAATATCTACACAGCGCCACATCCCAGAAGACTGCTTTCTTCATAGTCACCACTGCGAAAACCTCAGATCTTACACAATAAATGCGTCATTTTAGTGAAATGCCAGGACATCGCCATAGCAGTTGGCGACAATCTTTTCCAGTATCCTCAAGTAACATGAGGAATATAAATCTCTGCTGACTGGATTATAACTGAGTAACTGTATAAAATACAAATTTTGCTTCTTTACCTCTTGGTTTATTTAATGGTGCTTTTTACTTGCATCACTTCTGTAGCACTGTACAACAGTGAATTGGAATGGATGCTGAAGGAAGTTGTCAGTACCTGTTTTAAGTTGCTGCCCCTGGAGTTGCTTGAGGGATGGAGGAAGGCCACAGAAGGCCTTAGCCAGGACAACATACCACCAGGCTGACAATCAAATCTGAGGCAACCCGAATATAAAGCAGGAGTTTTAACCATTTAACTGCAGTGTTTGTTAAAATACAGAAGTAGCTGAATATAATCCTGTATATCGGGAAGAGCGCTTTATTATCGTAGTTTGTTGGCATTCTTACAGCAAAGTTTAAATGGGAAGACCCCTTGAATTTGGAGTCACAGCTGACACAGGATGAAATTATGATGCGTGATTCATTTCGTTCCTTCTGTCAAGAGAAGCTTATGCCTCGAGTGTTGCTGGCTCATCGTAATGAGGGTACGACCAAGTTATTATCTCTAATAAAGGTGTATAATTTGAAGGATATAAGTTTTCATTTACATATTTCTTGATAAACTGTCTTTTTGAACAAGACTGTATTGTATTGAAAGAAGTGTTCCTGTTCTCCTTATAATTGATTATATTTGAAGGATTTTATATGTATGTATGCATGTGACATTAAGAAATGGTGCTCTTGGAATAAGTCTGAAGAATTACTTGTCATAATTGTAACCCCGGAAACATTTTCAGCTTGAAAACACTATTTGGAATGCCACACCACAATTAAAAATGAGAGAAAAGTGGTTACAGTTTAGTAACAGCTAGTCACACACCCAGTACATTACAACTAAAACCATATTCAGATCAAATGGCATTGCACACTACATACCAGACGTAATACAAGTATCCCTGTAACGGGCCGTGGAGGCCCATAGGGTTGTGAGATGTTGACGCTCCCACATTTTCTAGACAGTCGGCTCACAGATGGTAGTGAGGCTGTCACTCTTATGCACCAGCGGCCCTTTACCCCCAGGAATATTCCTGGTACTCATTTCTGTTAGAGACTGAGTCAACCTCAGAGCCGTAGTGCGGCTGGAAGGATTAGGTAAATCGAAAAAAAATCCACCTCATCGAGATTCGATCCCTCGACCTTTCAGCTTGTAGCCCAGTGCCTCAACCAACTACGCTACCGCGTAATACACCGTAACTAAACATTAATCATGACACATGAAGAGTGAAATTAATGCTTTGAGGCTAGCCTCTGTGGTGAAACTATCTGCATCTCCTAATCTGAACTGTATTGAATATCAAAATATTAAACCCACGCCACTACATACTCTAGGTACACCCAGCATTTCCCAAATACATTTTAAATCTTAGACATAATTATTGTAATTTATAGGTATGACATATATAAAGAACTGATTTGAATTTAATTCAACTTCCACCTGAAAGGAAGTTGACAGTATGCAGTTCATTAATATGTTTTGTGTAATTGTTCACCTGATGATGATCAGTAATTGATCAGAACATGTCATGAGTGATTTTAGAAAATGAAACAATTAGTTGATTGCTACTTAAACATCCTATGAATGTTCTGTAGACTGCTAATAAAGCAATGTAGAACTTTACACACGCACACTTCGTAATGCAGATGCTAAAGATTCCATATTCCTCCCTTATAATAAGCCTGCCTCATGTTAACTCCTGACTCTCTTCACTTCGCTCCTAACAGAGGTTCCTCCAAGATGTCATAACCATCATACAACAAAACTAACACTAAAAGGGAATAAGCTATATGATTATCATTATCAACCCACATTTTTACCAGAACTTCCAGATGCCATTTATAATCCCTGATGTGAAATCAGCCAGAGTTAACAGCTTTCTTACACCACAGTGAATGAGTAAATTACGGTATTTTAGTTAGTTAGTTAGTTATTAGAGAGGGTGGGTTTCCCCATGCACTTAGACCTGTAGTGGTCCATTGTGCTTCCCTCTATGATTTCTACCAGCCGCTATATCCTGCCGGTACTGGTGATTACCATCAGTCCCGCCCAGCCAGCGAGACCGGCTCTACTAGCTGAGAGGTATCTATAATGCTTCCCCCATCTACCGGAGGTATTAGTGACTGCTGTCAGGTGGCAAACGTCCGCAATTTTGGCTCAGTGACCTCCTTTGGAGGTATGAGGTTCTTTTACATGCCGTAAAGCTACGACACGGGACCGACGGCTTAAAGTCCCTCCCAGAGGACTTGTTCCCTGAATTTTTTCCGCCCTTGAAAAATTCGACTACCTCTGCCGCGTATTTGAACCCACGTACTACGAGTCATGAGGTGGGAACGTTACCTCTAGACTACGGAGGCCAAATTACGGTATTTTACTCTAGAATAATAATAGCACTCAAAGGTCATGTCAAGGTGATTCATTACCTTCCACGATTTTTATAAAGAAATGCTTAAAATATTGCAAAAGGAAAATTGTTGGGCGAAAGTCTCCAGCATCTTTATTTTTGTGTTTCACGAATAAATGTGCCAGTACACTGCATACCGCCCAAGCAGCTATTCTCCAGTTGAAATGAAGCCCACAAGAAGGGCCTATTTGGCCTTAGTCCAGCCTGGCCATTTATGTGGCAGTGAATATCATAACCAGGGCTCGGATTTTGATGACCCGAAAATATTTATAAAACGACTGAAAAAATTCAGAAAAATTACCTAAAATATGACCAAAAAAATGTAATATGCAGGGACCAGATTTTGATGACCTGCAAATATTCAGAAAAATTACCGAAAAATCCAGAAAAATTACCTAAAGGAGAAAAGAAAGAACACTTCGCTTCCATGTTATTCACATTTCAGAAAACATATGAAGAAAAATTCCCTAAAATGGCCAAAAATGACAATAAATACCCTTAAAAGTCCAAAAATTTACCAAAAATGACCTTAAACGTAAAAATGTCAAAAAATTACCTATAAAATTTACAATTCTGTAACCAGCAGACATGTCATCAAAATCCGGGCCCTGATCATAACTATTCTTTAATTGTATTGAATTTTTCTGTTACAGATTTTATTGCATTTGATGCCACCTTTCTTCTACTGGTTTTCCCCACATGTGAAATGTGAAGCTAAAGAGTACGTTTAAAGTGGCACTTTTATATTTTGTGGCTTCAACTTGCACATGATGCTGCCATGTAGCCTTTTTACTTCAGTGGTTCACTCATTAGTCCACGTTATCAGATTACAAGCATTAAGGGAGGAACATAGACTGAGGGTGTTTGAGAATAGGGTGTTGAGGAGAATATTTGGACCGAAGAGAGATGAAGTGACAGGAGGTTGGAGAAAACTACACAATGAGGAGCTTCATAATGTGTGCTCTTCTCCTAGTATAATTACAATGATGAACTCAAGGAGGATGAGGTGGACAGGGCATGTAGCATGAATGAGGGAGAAGACCAAGACATAGGTGGGTGGACAATATTAAAATGGACCTTAGAGACATAGGATGGGATGGTATGGATTAGATTTATCTGGCTTAGGATAGGGACCAGTGGATGGCTCATGTGAACACAGTAATGAACCTTCGGGTTCCATAAAATGCTGGTAAATTCTTGAGTGGCTTCAGAATTGGCAGCTCCTCAAGAATAGATCAGCTCCATCAGTAAGTAAATATCAGACTACATGTTCTGCACCATGTCATTCAATGTTCCAGTCTTTCATCGAGAAATCATGAATGAGCTTGGAGCAGTGGGTGTCCTGGGCTGCACCATACATGGCTATGGCTGTGCTGGAGTATCATATGTAACGTATGGTCTACTGGCTCGTGAACTGGAGCGCGTTGATAGCAGTTACCGCTCTGTATTTAGTGTCCAGTCTTCACTAGTTATGCATGCTATTGAAGCATATGGCTCTCCTGAGCAAAAGGAGTACTACCTTCCAAAACTGGGTATGTTGATTCCTGTTTCAAGTAGCGCAAGTGAGAACAGTCTTGTGCATTCTTTATGTACATGCATGGAAGTAAGGCAAATGTCATATCTGCATGTTCAACTGCCTACTGGGATTCAGTTAAATTTGTTATAAGGGTCCATAGAACAGTAAGGAGGCCAATTTAATTTTCTTACATACCAGTCAGTTATGATCACCACTTTAAACTTTACCAGATCACTTAAAAATGGATCAGTGTACAAATACATGTGAATTAACTGGTGTGACATGTAATTGCTTGAGAGAAATAAAAAAATTATACAAACTTTTGGTTGAAAGATATCAAGGAGGGAGACAAATTTGATGTCATGCAAATGGGTGGAATAACATTGTCGCGTGTGCCAGGCAATGCAACAAGAAATTTTGTGGGTTTCAGATTTGAGCAAATGTTTATTGGATAGTCACTTTCACACTCACACAATTATTCTCAACTTATAACGTCGTCAGATGTTTCTTCAGTGTTACAATAATCTTGCACCGCTAATCTGAGTGAAGTGTCTTCTGCTCTGCTTGGAGCTCAACTGTCCTTAGCTCTTGTTGGATACGAACTCACTCCTGCTAAGTTGGATAAGAACTCTGCTGGTCTCTTGCCACAGTTGGACTCTTATCTCTTGCACTTGGACTGAATAGGGAATACCTTGTCGAAGGGTTAATTTCGCCTGCTGCTATGCAAACGCTGCTTCAAACAATTCGTTGCTGCAGGAATATGTGTCTGCCTTAGACAATTCGTTTGTAACAATGGAAACCCCACTGTTAGACGTTCATTTCCATGGCAATGATTTCCTAGGCTTCGCTGCCTAGGAATTGCTAGCCGTTGACTAGTGATTGACTTATCCAGCTTTCAGGTGGCATGCCACAGTATTAAAAAGGATCCTTGATCATAGGTTATAAAGATGTGAACTTTTTTGTTGCTTAGTTGTAGAACACTCTACAGAGATAAGTTTGTGGTGAATAGCTTCAAAAGGATATTATTTGTACTGATCTGGATAAATCCCTATAACAGATAATGTTTATAGGTTTTATATATATGAATAATGGGGTTTCAGCACGTGGAGAATTGGTAGGATGCTTTGGTCTGACGGAACCAAACCATGGAAGTGATGTTAAAGGCATGGAGACAAAAGCCAAGTATAATGCAGGAAAGAAATGCTACATTTTGAATGGTAGCAAAACTTGGTAAGCATATAAATCATTATTAATTTATTTGCACCCTGGCAAGCACATCTTTGGAGTGATGTACCACCATTAAATATTCTATAAGGACGATTTTAACAATTCCGAGAATGGATGCTCTAGTAACACCAGTTTCTTGTTACAACTAACAGAATGACTTCCTTGACCCAATTTGGGTTTGTTGGATGTCTCAGAGAGTTTCTGCTGCAAGCATACACTTTGAGTGATATATTTTCCTGCTGACATTGAATCTACTTTTATGCTAAATTTTGTTCATCTTTAAAATACATAGTTTTCTGAGTAAAGATGAATCCAGAAACTGCTGAGGAAATTTATGAATACATATATCATAATACCTCTTTTGATGAGATACTAAACAAGAATCAATGTCCATTGGTGCATGTAAGTGAACTATACAGTGGGAAGAATAAATAAACCCTTCCTTATTTTGTTTAATGTTGTTTAATGTTTTATTTCATCCATCATTATTGATTATAAAATCAAGTTTTCTAATCATGTGGTTGATTGTGTTAGCTTATCTGTGATTCCTAGGATGCTCACACCCATCTGGTTCAAACAATGGTAGGATAGAAAACCACAAATCACTTGACATATCACTCTTGTATGATATGAGGGAGAGTCAGTAAATAGGTCACACATGGATATAAAATGTAAAACATGTGATATTTGAACTAGAAGAAACATTTATTTATCGACATATCCTTCACCAGCAGTGACATGCTTGTCGCATTGTATTACCAGTGCATCGAAACCCACAGTATGGAAGTCTTTTAAGGCCGCGTCATGGCTCAAGCAGTTAGTCGCTGGCTTCCCACCGTGGCGACCCGGGTTCGTACAGAGGTCTGGTCAAGTGGGATTTGTGGTGGACAAAGTGTTGCTGGGGTAGGTTTTCTCCGAGTACTTCGGTTTCCCCTGCCAATCTTCATTCCACCAAATTCTCCATCATCATAATCACCTGGGTAAGTACAATAGGGCAATCAGTGGCCGATGTGCCGAGTGGACCCAGCTGGACTCCACCCCCCACTATGCGGAAAAATATAAGTCTTTTTGACAGTTTTCTCAGCCATTTCAACCTCTGAATCATCAGTGAAATATTTGTCATGTTTCTCAAACCACTTGTATACCTCTTTATGCAATAAACACTTCCCACTGTAAACAGGTAACATTTCTCTACAAATATCCTTTGCATTGAATCCCTTTGCTCATAAAAACGCATACCAGGACACTAGTCTTCGGTAATATACTCCTCAAGCAGGGTCACCAGCCTGTAGCCAGCCTCTGAACATTGACATGCACGTCTGCTACCCAGACTCATGAATCTGGACTGTGCTGCTACCTAGTGATACACATAGGAAACCTATTACATCCATTACAGTGTTTTACTTCCATTTGTGACCTATTTACTGACCCTCCTTTATATATAGACCAGGCTTTTGTGTTTGTTGCCATTGCTAGGATAAAGGTGAAGCTGAAGATTATTGCTGGAAGACGAGAACTACAGCTTCATATGGGATCTGAGCTGTGATGGGCATTATAACTTTGTCAGATGTGAGCAAAGGAAAAGTCACATGGAAATATTCACACTGCATCTAGCTGGACGTGAACTGGAGGTCTGCACCGAAAGCTGTACTTATAGATCACAAGGTTCCATAACGAATATGATGGGATGATTATGAATGCTGAAGCCAAGGGGATGGGCGGTGCACAGAAATGGTTTTGGCATTTTTAGCTACAGTTTCAGCATATTTCTGAAGGGCTTGAGGAAAACGAAGGGTGTCTGCTCCCTGGCTTAAATTCATTCTAGAAGCCTCTGGAAAATTAATTGGCTACGTTGCTGCTGTACAGTCGTGCTCAGTCCCATTGCTTACACAAGCAAAGCTTAGATGAAGGCTTGGATCTGCATACGTACAGTAATTCAGTACAAAGAACATGTCTTTCACACAGACTTCATTTGCAGGATTACAAATGCACCAATTGCAGACTTCTGTATTATCTGGGCAGTTTGTGAGGATGGTAAAGTAAGAGGTTTTATCGTGAACAGAGAATCAGAAGGACTAGAGACTCCCAGAATTGAGGGGAAATTCTCTTTACGTATATCAAGCACAGGAATGATCCATATGGATGATGTCAAAGTACCTGAAGAAAATCTGTTACCAAATGTGGAAGGTTTGAAGGTAAGATACAGCAGATGTATATAGCTGTCCATTACTTCCCTGAAGGATAGAGTCAAATTTCCAAATCCATGCAGAACAACATACAAAATTATACTTAAAATGTACATATTTTTTTTATTGTAAGATTTGAGGCTTTCACGGCGGTGACTATGAAGAAAGCAGTCTTCTGGGATTTGGCACCGTGTATATGTGGTGTTAACCGACGTTTCGGAGGAACGTATCGCCTCCATCTTCAGAGTAGAAGGAAAATTACCGGTTCTCACGGTCTCTCCGCTTGCAGATTTCTTATATTTTTTCTTCTACCCTGAAGATGGAGGCGATACGTTCCTCCGAAACGTCGGTTAACACCACATATACACGGTGCCAAATCCCAGAAGACTGCTTTCTTCATATTTTTTTATTGCTAGTGGGGTGGGACTTAAGTCCATTGTACTGCGGCCACAAATGTACATATTATTATTAGTATGCAGATATAAAGTGTCATGTAAATTTATGTAATATAGAACAAAGTAACAGCTGATATGAAGCCAATTGTTGATGACACAGTTTCGTTTCAGTAGTACCACAGATTTTACCATAACTGCCTTCAGGCTCAGGTTTAGTTGTATTCATTAGAACATGTGTTTTTTGATTAATTTTCATACATAGGGCGCCTTTGGATGCCTAAACAATGCACGGTATGGTATTGCATGGGGTGCTTTAGGTGCTGCAGAGTTCTGTATGAAAATGGCTCGGCAATACACGCTAGACCGCTACCAATTTGACCGACCTCTTGCAGCCAATCAGCTGATACAGAAGAAGCTGGCTGACATGTTGCAAGAAATCAGCATTGGACTACAAGCTTGTGTTCATGTTGGTCGACTCAAGGAGAAAAATATGTATGTTGATCCACACATTTTATTTAATTTATAATTTCTTTCTATAGGCTTGTGTATATAACTAGAATACAGTAGAACTCATTTATGCTGAATCTTTTGGCATTGTATTTAAATGTTGACATACTGTCCAGAACTTTATCATGATTAAGTTATGGAGAAATGTGTTTTATAAATCTGTGTTGTGAGGAATATAGTAAAGTTAATGTCTCCTGTCATGGTTAATATAAAAAGGTAAACTCCCTGTGCTTAACTAATTAAACACTGTGTCATGAATAGGGACCGGATTTTAATGCAAATGCATATTTCTTTCTTGCAACCAGAAAGTATGCTCGTTTGGATATATGTATGAATTACATCATTAAATTTTGGACATGGTTTGATGGTGCATATAAATGCATATTTTGCCTGTTTTATGAATAAGCATCATATTTTCAAAGGTCTCTATTTATACTGCATATTTCCTTTTTAAAATGTCTATCATATATATTTTTTAATTTTATGTTCAAATTTTCAATCATGGTCGTGTGTATACAATTAGAATATGTTGCATATTTGACCCAACATTTCGTCATGATTCATTTTTCTGATGCAATACCCAGGACGAGACTTCCCAATTCCTCTACTCGTAACTTGCCTCATCCGCGTACCATCAAAGTGGCTGCAAAGAGATTAGTCGGAAGCGTTCACATGTAGCAGCTATCAACGTAATACTATTCAACCGATAAGGGACTTCACTTATTTATTTCCAAAGTCTCCATGATGTTCGTTACGCTTCTTCATTTGAAGCTGAGGGCCATTCACATTAGTGGTGACTAGTCTGCAGTTAAGTTTGTTTAGCTTTCTGTACTCATGCCGAAAGTGAAAGTAAGTCAGAAAACTAAATTACAGCTGTATCAGCGGGAGTTCGAGAGAGAGAAGATAAGTATGGATAACGAAATTCTTTATTGCTGAGCATATGAGAAAACAGTTGGTTGTGAAAAACGCTTTCAAGTGCTTCAGCATTTGAACACTAATACACACAAAGAGAATGTTAAAATTAAATCCATGAAAAGTGCTCCTGTTCAAAAATTGCATAGTGAATTTTCTAGTAATAATTTTTCACAGTTTTCCCTTGATTTATGCGAAGACTTTTTAGCGGCAGATATTCCGCTCTGGAAACTAACCAATCCTACTCTGAGAAACTTCATAGAGAAGTATACAGAGTGCTGGATGAATCTGCTGTGCGGAAAAATTATGTGAAGCAGTGTTACGATCTTACAACTGATAGCATTAGAGATAAGATTCAAGATTTTGTGTGGGTAACAATCGAGGAAACACAAGATTGTGAGGGACTGTTTACTGCAAATTGTATAGTTGGATCCCTTAATAAGAATGTACAATCTACCCCATATCTTCTTGCGGTAGAGCAGTTTGAAACCACAAATAGCTCCGCAGTTTCCGAATTTTTATCAATTCCATGAATTTACTGTGGCCGAATGGCGTTCAGTATGAGCACGTATTGCTCTTTGTGACTGATGCCGCAAGTTATATGATGAAAGCCGGTACTGCTCTTAAAGTTATATTTCCAGATATGACACATTTGACTTGCCTTGCCCATGGGTTGCACCGTGTTCGTGCAATTTTTCCGCTTGTTGACAAGTTGGTGTCTTCTGTGAAGAAGGTATTGTTAAAGCGCCACACAGAAAAGAAGCCTTTAAAGCAGTAGCACCGAGCGTTCCACTTCCGCCAGAACCAATTTTAATTTGCTGGGGCACATGGCTGTGTGTAGGGAGTTATTATACCGGACATTTAGAAACAGTTAGGAATATCGTGAATGCATTTGATCCCAAAAGTGCAGCATCAATTCAAATTGACCAAGATATACTAAGAAACGCAGAACTAGAAACTAATCTTTCCTATATATCTGCTCACTTCTCTCATCTTCCATCCGCCATTTCCTCACTGGAGGCAAGCAATAGCAATACTATTTTGTATCAGTTGTTAAGTGTGTTCAAAACCACTGTTCCCAAATTGAATTCGGTTCCTGGAAGAGTTGGTGAAGTAGTAAAGGAAAAAGTACACAACATTCTTTAAAAAAAATCTGGGATATGAACAAATTTGTGAAATTGAAGAAATTTTAGCCGGCAAACGTACTGAACTGCCAAGTAAAAAATCACTAACAGTGGAGCAAATAGTGGCTTTTGTACATGCGCCGCTAAGTTCCTGTGAGGTGGAAAGAAGTTTTTCCCGCTATAAGGACATCTTTGAGACAATAGGAAGCGACTAACTATGGAAAACCTAAAACAGTTAGTAATTGTGAACTGCAACAGAAGAGAAGTTGAAAGTTCGGAGAGCTAAATGTGAGTACCATTGGTTTTTTAAATTTGTAATGAAATATGTTGGTTTTGTTGCATGATTTGTATTTAAGTATAGCTTTTTATTGCAAGTGAATCATTTAGTGATTACATAAAATGAACTTAAATATTGATTTCGTATTAAAATAATGTAAAATCAATTTTAATATTTGGTATAAATTTTATATGCATATTTTAGTGCATATTTCGGAAGTTTTTCATGCATAAATGCATACATATTTAAAGGATTATTAGGGCATAAAAATCCGGTCCCTAGTCATGAAGGAGTATGGGTAGTGCTTGTATAGACCCAATTTTCTTGACCTTGGCTCTAGTTAGAGGTGAGTGGTCAGCTTCATGCCCTGGCTGCTTTACCTCCAGGGAAAGAGCCCCTGGTACCCATTGAATAGGAGGCTGGGTAGGTCCCAATGCCGGTCTTGATGACATAGAGAAGTGAAAATTCTTGACCCCACCAGGACTCGAACTCAGACCCCTTGGTCATCCAGCCTGTAGCCAGTTGCTATACCGACTAAAATAGAATGTGTAAAAGATGTTAAAATTAGCTTTTGTCACAGCATCAGGACTGAGTGGATTTAAATGGCATGAAAAAGAATTAAAAGGGAGTATTACTGCAGTTTAAATATTATTTAACCAAGTTCTTTTTATTAAATACGTGTACATTCACAAAGTCCATTTTGAAATCTTACAGTTTTGTCACACACAACAGGCATGTGGAGGAAATGTTATAAGAGAAGCTACACTTCTCCAGATTTGATTATACAGAGTTTTAGAAGAAACTTTCATAAACAGTGATTCAGGAATCAAATATTTTGATAAGGCGAGGTATCCATAAAATGGATTTAATCATAAATTAATGACTCAGAAGTTTATAACCCGCTCATGACCATGGGGTTATTTATGTAGCATCGTATTTCCCTCCAGGGTACACCTTGTGTTCAAAAGTCCCCCCCCCCCCATCTGACATGATAAAAGCAAACTGTACATCCCACATTGAAATTCACATCGGATTTTTATGAGAAAAATTAATTCAAATTCATACTATGCTGAAACCCATATAGACTTGATGACTGGGTTTTGATTCTTGACAAGGGCAAAGAATATGTTAATAAGGATTTCTTACAACAGTTACTTTCTTTTGGAATGTACAGGGTAACACCAGAGATGATCTCAATTTTGAAGCGTAATTCAACAGGCAAGGCTCTAGAAATTGCACGAACAGCTCGTGATATGCTTGGGGGAAATGGAATTTCAGATGAATATCATGTAATTCGTCATGCTATGAACCTTGAAGCAGTCAATACTTACGAAGGTAGGTCTGTAAGTAATCATTGTACAGAGCTGTTCTGAAGCAGTTGATAGACAGTGCACCACAGAATTAAAGACTGTTTAGGTTACAGAACTACCCTCATAGGAAAATATTAATACGACCATAAAATTCACGTAGAGACTATAAATCTGCCCAATCAGTAATTTGGTTTAAATATTAAATCTTTTTAACACAAAATTCAGAAGAACATATTCAGCCAAATTTTAGCTTGTTTGCTATTCCCATCTTATTTTAGATCATCTCATATATTACTTTTATTTAAGATGTCTGGGAAAAGGCTGTCAAGTTCTTGTATAATTACATCTAAAGTAGTATGGAAAGGAATTACATTTTATGTAAAATTTGATGAACTTCGGTTTTATTACAAGTGTGAACCAACAAAATTTTGTTAGGAATTCATCTCCACTTATAACACTAAAATCAGTGGAAAAGTGGGATTTGCATTACAGAATTTCAGAATATGGGTGAATTTTCAAGAGCATGCCCTTCCATAATGTGGGGTCATGTTGTGCATGCATTCAGTTCAGTGAACTTCCTGTTATGGAACTGAAACTTTCATCACCATTTTTACAGGATCTACTCATGACTAAATTCTAACTTCAGCCAGTTCAAATCCTCCCAGACTAGTCTCGCAGAAGATCCCTTTCAGTAGAATAAAACATAGATATAAAGATATCTCTTGCATATTTTCTCTGTCTCAGACATTTTTCCTTTTAATACAAGTATTTGCTATGAGGAGAAGGAATTCACATGCTGCATATATTTATGATCAATATCATGTGTCCGTTATATATACCCCATACTCTTATTAAGCATTGTACATTCTGAGGTATACCCCTGAATTTGTCACTGATTTTATCTCTCTTACATTTTAATATTTTCCTAAGCACTTATTTCAGACATTTGTAATTAATATTCCTCATGCAGAGTAATATGCCATGTTTTACAACTAACTGGAATTGTTGAAAAATTTATTGTTTTGTTGTTATAAAATGTTAATAATAAATGGTATATTTTTGTCCTCTCCAGGTACACATGATGTTCATGCACTGGTTCTGGGTAGAGCCATCACTGGAATATCAGCATTCAGCTGAACTGCCATCAGGAATATATTCGTGTCATGGTCCATCAAGATAAGATGTGTACCTGCTTTTATAAAGCCATTATTTAAAAAATTACATTTAATTGTTACCACAAAAACTGTGCCTTATGTTTGTATCCCCTTCTGCTTTTATAACGGCCTTAAGTGTAGAATCCATCATCAAAGTGTATGGAGATGAAGAATAAACAATAAATATTTTTTATTCTCTGTATAAATATGTTAACTTAGATGTTCTTAGAAGGCATCACAGCTTCTCACCATGGATTCCCTTTTTCAATCCCAGGACTGTCCACGTGGACTTTATGGCAAGCAGAGTAGCATTAGGTGAAGTTTTTCTTTCAGCACTTTGGTTCCCCTGTGGTGGCCACCAGCCCACTAATGCTCCGTGCCCATATATCACTGTCCTTCAATTGTGTGATAGGCCCACCCAGCCAACATGTTATCACAACTACTGTCCTTATTTGGAGCTTCATCTCTGGCCCAGCACTCATCTCGACTTAAGATGTTTATATTAAGAAACCCCATTATTAGACTGCCAGTTATTGTAGCTAAGCGGTCTAAGGCATGTACTGTCTTCGCTCGCTCCAAAACCAGGATTGTGGGTTTAAATTCTGCACAAGGCATGGATGTTTGGTGTGTGTTGTCCTGTGTTTAGGTAGAGGCCTTGCAATGAGCTGATCACCCATCCAAGGAGCCCTACCATCTGTAAAATGATCATGAAACTGAGAAATCAGCTTTATGCTCCAAAGTGTGAGCGAGAGGAAGGGAAAAATATTGTTGGACTGTTCTGTGAAAGTTCATAAAACACGATAAGTTCATTTTTGTGCTTAGTGATGCATAATCAGCTGTTTCATCGCATTTGATACCCTGTGGACAAGTTGTTGTTTTTATTCCAGTTTATACCAGTTTCCCAATGTCCAAAACCCAGTAATTCTGAGTGTTATACACCATCATGAGAACCCTTTAGGAGCTACATTAAAATTTTGTTAATTGAAATTTAATTCAAAATGTGAGATTTGACTAAATAGATTATGAAAAGTACTAAAAGTATATATTATATTATGAGCATCATTTATTGTTAGTTGGGTATGCTCAACTTTAGTCAAAATTTTGTGAGCTATTGTTGAAATGAAACTAATATAATTCTGCTGAGCAGGTTGGTATAGCAATAATGTTCTAGACTTATATTTCAGAGGTCCTCACTTCAAATTTCATGTAGAACATTAGCATCCTGACTGAGATGTTTTGTTGTTTCCTTCAGCCCTTCCAGGCAAATGCCAGAATTGGTACCTCAGTTAGGCCATGGCTATTTTCTTCCAAATCCTTTCCAGTTCATTAATCATCCTTCAACTCACTACTGTATAATCCAAATGCAGTGTCATGAAGTGAACCATGAATGTATATCACTTTTGTGAAACAGTTTATTCTAAATGAATAAATTAATTAAAGTTTGTACAGTATTTAATTTGTAGTAACCATGTATCTAAGGCCGCGCCATAGCTCAAGCGGTTAGTCACTGGCTTCCCACCCTGGTAGCCCGGTTTCGATTGCGGGTCTGGTCAAGTGGGATTTATGGTGAACAAAGTGGCGGGTTTTCTCTGAGTACTTCGGTTCCCATGCCAATCTTCATTCCATCAAATTCTCCATCATCATATTCATCCAGGGCAGGTACAGTAGGCCAATCAGTGGCCGCCATGCGAAATGGACCCAGTTGGACTCCACCCTCCACTAAGAGAATTTAAAATTTTTTAAAAAACCATGTATCTGTGCAAACTGTGGAAGTGAAACAGACAGGAACACTGTCCAGAACAGGGACTTGCAGAAAAACTGAACTTTCACATTGAGTTTCCAGTTCTGATCAGGGAATGTTGCCAGAAAATGCTGAACTAAACTGACGTAAATACCAATGAATTGGAGAAAGTTACATAACTACGATCTTCATAATTTTTATATATAAAAGTAAAAAAGTATATGTATGCCTGTAACGGGCTGTTGAGGCCCATAGGGTTGTGAGATGTTCAAGTTCCCACATTTTCTAGACAATTGCCTCATAGATGGCGGCAAGTTTGTCAGCCCTACGTACCGGCCGCCCTTTACCCCCAAGAATATTCCTGGTACTCATTTCTCTTAGAGGCTGAGTCGATCCCAGGGCCATAGTGAGGCTGGAAGGATTTGGTCAATTGAAAAAATCCAATGAACCCGCTACCTTTCGGATTATATATAATTATAATTATATATATAATATAAACGTTAAAGTTGTCCTTGTGCTTAACAAATTAAGCACAACACCATGAAGTCGTATAGAGGAGTGGATATATACATCCAAATTTTCTTAACCTCTGCACTAGTTGGTCAGTAGTCAGCTTCACACCCCGGCCGCTTTAGCCCGGGGAAAGAGCCCTCGGTACCCATTGAATAGGAGGCTGGGCGCGCCCCAGAGCCGGTCTGGACGACATAGAGAAGTGAAAATTCTTGACCCCACCAGGATTCGATTTCCGACCCCTCGGTCGTCCAGCCAATAGCCAGTCACTATACTGAATGCGCTATTCCGGCTCACATATCACAAATATTATTAGGCAAATTAAATGAAAGATGGTAAGATGGATGGGGTATGTAGCGCACGAGGGAGATTAGAATTGAACGTAACATTTCAATTTGGAGAACGGCATAATGTGGTCCTAGAGACGGGATACAAATTGCTGGGGACAGGGTCCAGTGGAGGCCTGTACATAAATACGCCAATGAGCCTGTGGATTTCATAACATTGTTAAGATTTCTTGAGCACCTGAAAGACCAGTAGCCATTAAAGAAAGACTTTGCACCTTGGAGGCCTCTCCTCACTGCGTAATTGTGTCCCGTCCTTTGATAACTTCATCTCTCCTAATAATGTTACGGAAATGAACCGAGTGTGACGCAGGTGGAGGCTAGTATAATCTACAAGATATTAGTTCACTTAAAAGCGTGAGGTATATGTGGGTTCATCATTTCGATGTCGGTTTGAAACCTGGATGGAAGTCTCTTTTGCTCATGCGTATATATGACAATGCAGTGTGTTTGCCAATGGGTCATTTAGCGCTGAGATCGCCAAGCGCACGCCCGCTGGCTCCCTGCTGCCCTCAGAAGAGATTTCGGTTGCCCACAGGAATTTTAAAATGTTGATAATGTCACATTAATACAGAGGTTCGGGTGTAAATAATGGTGCAGGACATTCTGCAGGAAAATGGCGTAATACAGGTAAGTCTTCTTTATAAAATGTGCTAAAATAATGTTCTCGAAAATTCCTTAGTGTGAGAACATAAGGTGCAAAGCTGTTCTTATTGTACACTACCCACTCCACAGTATATTACAAGCTTCCCGTAGTTGTCCGCAGGCAAAACGTGTTGGCGACCTGTAATTCAAAGTATGTGGTCCGCCTGCAAATGAAGATGCAAGACTGCAGTTGTACTTATTTTAAAATAAATGCAGCAGATGGAACGCAAAAAGAAATAGTACGTGTGATTGCAGTGCAAGGCGAGCACGGTGCGCCCACCAGGCGTGGGCTTCACAGAACTGGTCTGCCCCATTAGTTCTACAGAAATTCAGGGCCCCAGGACCTGTCTGACTGGATACATACCGTAGCCTACACGCCGTCTGAAATGGATTCGTATTCGTGGGCTTAGAACTTCTTTTTCATTGATCTACTTAATGACGTTCGATCAGCTGAAAACATTAAAAGTACCAATCTTCCGTGGAGAATGACTGCAGTAGATTATGCTTCGGAGATCAGCCGTTTTGGATCTTAAAGAAGTATTATGTGAGAGTACGGACGCGATTCAACTGGCTAAGGACAAAATAGTTGTGATCTCTTGTGAATACGGTAGAGCCTAATGGACTTTATGTTACACAAAAGGCGTGGAGTTTCTTGACCAACTGAACGACTGTTAGCTTCTTAAGAATGGTGATGAATATCACGAGTATCTGAAATCTTCCCACTGTCAGATATTCTGCAAAGGCGAGGGTAATATAGAGTTTGTTTTTTTTAATGCTAGTGTGGTGTGACTAAGTCCCTTGTACTGCGGCCACTTCTGGCCTATTGCACCAGCCCCAGATGATAGGTGAGGGTGATTGTGAAGCAATTGGTGGAATGACAATTGGCTGTGGAAACCGAAGTACTCGGAGAATACCTGCCCCAGCGCCACTTTGTCCACCAGAAATCCCATTTGACCAGACCCGGGCTCGAACCCGGGCCGCAGCGGTGGAAAGCCAGCGACTAACCGCTTGAGCTATGGCGGGGCATAATATAGAGGTTAGTGTGCTGTTGACGTTATTGCTTGATGAGAATTGGACAGGGAAATATTTTCCACCGAATGTCACCCGTGACTGGTTAGTACGCATGCTTCATATTCATGAGATTTCTTATTCCATTATCGTGGTCTGCTCCGTCACTCCAGGCAGCTACTGCTTTACTGCCTTAAAATGGGCCAAGACTTTTCGCTTATGCTATCGGTACCTCATTCAGGTCTGCACTTCCTTAAGGGCTGGTACATTCGAGGCTGCAGTGCCACAGCCCAAATCCATGAAATCTTAAGTTTATTCTTGTATAATTTTTCTCAGTCTTCCTGTTCCTTCTTCTGTTTTGGATCAAATATTCTACTCACTATTTATTCACAAACATCCTGACTCTGTGCTCTTTCTTTAAAGAAAGTAGCATAGACTATCTCTATTGTGACTCTAGCGAAGGTTGCTTTTCAGATCAGTTCTAATAAACATAACTGTGAGCACGAACATCGATCATTTCGTAATATTGATCTTCTAGATTAATTTTATCAGAAGAGACTTTTTATTTTAGATTTTTCGGAAAAAATTTGAACCCCTCCCAGCTCCAGTAATTATGTCGTCCACTATGATTATCCTTGATTTTTTGTCCTTCATTTGTCAACGAGTCGTGTATTGCAAGGGCATTTCCATTTCATACATTTTCGATGAATCATTGTTACGTTTGTTAACGTTGAAACTTGAGAAATCGGAAGAGTCTCGGAAACAAATTCAACTAAAATCAAAAGAACAGCAGCTTACTGGTGAACATTCTAATAGCAAATATAAATGCAAGGGAATTATTTTTTGTATACAGTGTTATGCCCCAAAATTCGAGATAGTAGAAGAAGCCACGGCCCAAAAATGTTCGCGCCTAGCGAACAGTGTTGCACAGTTATTGCCGCAACTTGTAAACATCAGTAATGGCAAGTAGGGTAGGAATCTGCTTGCCCAGCAAGGCTGTGTCCACACAGCGCCAGAAGTTTGCCTAACTCGGGCACTGGAGAATCGGAAGAGATTGCTTACGCAGCGATCAGACGCCCGGGGGGGTCTGCCCACATCCCGATAAGACCCAATGAAAGCCTAACTTTAGGAAATTAGAACACAAGGGAGGAGCTATCTACCCCCTTGTCGTCCACGCGGAATCAGCGAATTAAGACTATAAATGAGGGAAATTCAAGAGACTTGGAATTCTGATTTTAAACAGAATAGAGAGTTGTCAGCCGAAGGCTCTCTTCGACATGGGTCAGACCAGCGGAGGCAGTGTGCCGACATCTTGTACTTCAGGTGGGTCTGTTCACGTATATTAGCCATGCCGATTGATAATCTGTTGTTTGACAGTAATGGTGATAACTGTGTGGTTGAGTTATTTTAATGTGCAAACTCCAGTGTACCCAGTGAGCCCGTAGGGGAGGAAACTATGATCGTGTAGAAGCCTAGGATCTTAGCCAGGCAATGAGTGACTTATATGTCGGTGGCAAGGTTACATATAGTGAGTAGGGGTAAATATAGTATGTGGGAAAGTAATATAGATATTTAAGGGTAGATTACGTTTTGAGGGAA